CCTTTTTTGTGCAAGATGCTGCTATTCTCTTCATTGTCGGTTGTAGAACCAACATTATTTTGCATGTATTCTTTCGTAATATGTGATTAACACAACTTTTCTTAGGATACTCTTAATGCTATCCACACCTGATCTCCCAAGGTCAACAAGGCGTTTTCGAACACTCTGTAAAACTCGAAACTCCGGGCTTCTCTCAAGAAACGGCACTAAGCGCGCATAATCTATTTTGTCTACTCTTCGTAGCTTTTCAACTTACGGCACGTCATCATGGTCTTCAGCCCACCATCTCAGATGTTTTGGTGAATTCTTTCCTCATCGAGGACCCTTCAGTAGTCTCGCCCCACATTTTCGCTAATACTTATTAAGCGGCCGGGCATCCTAATCCTTTATCGTATTGCTCAATCATTTTTGTTTAATAAATATTTTTACTACATTATCACAATAAAGGCGCAATTGTGCTACAATTATTGTTGCTATTATTATTGATATTGTTATTAATACTATTGTTATTATTACGCAACATCATTTTTAATGTTAGCATTATTAGTACTGGGTTTATTATTAACGGCATTTTGCGAGCAAAAACAGACAAATGTAATAAACATATTTTTCGCTGTTTTCAGTGAAAGTTTCTGCTCCCTTATCACCCTTGATCTTCAGTGCGAGTCAAGCAGCAACCTGTACAAACAATAAATCGCACCATCCTGTGAACGGATAAACTGAGCCATCCATCATCCACGCACACACACCACCAATGAGCTTTTGGTTTAACACGTATGTCTTTTTTGCCACTTGTACGATTTTCACGTGATCCTGATGATTCATTAGGCGCAAAAACGATCATGCGTGTAATGTATTTTATTAGTGCGAGCTTTTGGATGCCCCTGGATTACACCGTTGTGCAATTTTTCTCGATTTGGTTCCCGTAATTCAGATTGGGATCAACTTTTGAGAATTATTCTTCGCATTTTTTGAATGTTACGATTCACACAGAAAAGCATTCCTGAAAAAATATGCTTATGGATTGAATCCTGGCTCATATTCGTGTTTCAATAGTGCAATGGCTCAACGAATTTTCCAGTGCCCTGGTGCTCTTGCTACCAGCTATTTTTTTTGGAAATTTAGCACCGAGACGTAGCATTTTTTCACATCGTTACCCCCTGAATGGATTTCTCCTCCTTGTCTCCCAAATTTTCATGTTACTTTTGCAGTTTTGCATCTGTTCTCTTGTTCACTGGGTAGTTCCGAAAAATGTCTAGTTTCATTTCGTTAATACTGTTGAGCATTTGAAAATTTGTTTGATTTTAGATTCTAGAATGCTTATTAGGTCTAAGCGAAATTACAGATGCTATTGCAAGAGCGAATCGTAACTAATCGAAAAATAATAACTGATTGCCCTCAGTTTTTTTCCCCAAAAATTCTTCCTTATAGTAAGAAAATAAAATGCTTTGATTGAAAAATTTTACGTTTTCAGTGCTCACGTCAAAATTTGAAGATTAAAGAAGAAAATGAACAATTCTGGAGTGGCAGTTTTTATTCTGCTTCTGTATACTGTTGATAGCAGAAGTGCCCTGATCCGAACTGTTCTAAACAATGGAACAACCACTGAGCCGCAGAAAGTGCAGTGTGAAATGAAAGCTGATGAACATGCAAACTGCCCAAGCTGCGTCGAAAAAGGACCGGTTAGTTCTAAATGTGGAATTATGCGTATGAGACTTCTCGAAATCTGATGCTATATTTTGTCCCGGAATTTTCTAGTGTGCAAATGAACATTTTCGGTCAACCAGAGGCAGGTGGTCGTGAAATATCTGCATTCAACACGCTACTGCAACCCAGTAACGCCTTGTTTTTGTACTATCAGCACAAAGGGCTTCGATAATCGGCCACATTTATTGCTCTGCCTTTCGGTCATCCCCGTTTCTCCTGAGATATCCGTCTTTTCTGACGGAGGGCAGAGGGTGCTTGCAGGGTAATAAGAAATAACCTTTCAACAAAGTATTCGCTGAGGAGCAACAGCATTCAGT